TGTGCTGCAGTTTCCAGGAAGAGTATAGGCCATAGGATAGGTGAAATTTTTATTCCATTTGTTTTTGATAAGACTTTACTAAAATTCATAAATATCTTCAAAATAGAAATAACAACTGATCTTTTTAAAGTGTGAATAAGAGAAACTGACAGAACTATTCATCCAGGCTTGAGCTTTTAGATCTTAAATAATCTGATGGAGTTTCTGTGTATTCAACCACGTTGGTGATGATGAATTGGATTTTCCATTTCTTCTTTTTTATGACAGTGTCATCCACTGTAGAAGCTTATGGCAAGCAGCCACACTAGACTTTCTGCTGAGGCAGCTGTTGACTTTGCTAGCGCAGAAGGTAGAGAAAATCAGTTCATTTTTCTGATGATACGTAGAGTAATATTAGAATAAATGAGAAAAGTTTTTTTTAATGAAACTGACAAATTCATCCACCTTTTGTTAACCTACATTTTGTGAAGTCTTTCCATAAAATAATTTTTTCCAATGGAAGTGCTCAGCAGTGCATACTACTAAACAAGCCTGGATAATTTTGTTGCTGGTGAAATTAAATACCTTTTTATTTCCTTCATTTTGCTACATATTTATTCCAAATACAAAACCTAATAAAAGAGGACTTCATGGTTAGAGAGTCTACAAACACATTTTAAACTAAAAATGAAGATCTGTCTCTTAGGCAGAACATCCTTGAGTGATGTTAATCAAGAGATAAAACTTAAATATTGATACCTTTTCATGTAAAACAAGGATGCTGTTAATCTGTTACTCAATAAAGCATTTTACAATAAGTAGGATGTATATAATTCTCAAATTACTTGATTTTTATTAGTTTTAAAAATTATAGCTAATACCCATTTTAAATTAAGCTGTAAAAACAATAGAATGGCAACAGTGAAATCTTCTGCACAAGAGAAATTCATTTATATTTTATTAAACCAAATTTAAAATTGTTGTATAGTTTCCTATACCAGAGCAGTATAGAGACCAGTATTCTAGATTTTTTTTTTGCAGACCAGTATTCTAGAATTTTTTAGCAGTTTATAAACAAGCTTTCAGTTTCTTTTTCTATGCCATGATAATAATTTCACGAAATGTGTTATTTGTGGTTCTCCATTTTTGGTTTCCTCACTTCCTTCCTTATTATTTCTCCTTTTTTTCTTTATATCTATAATTAAGTTAGTAACTTGGCATATTTTTCCCTTTTTATTTCTCTTTGTTGTGATAAAACCTCATGGCATTGTTCTTGGAGAAAAATCTTTGCTTCAGAGAAGGTCAAGATGTTAATTCATTGCCAGAATTTTGTGCCATAGATTTAGTGGAATTGCTTCTCCTATCATCTTTATGCTCTCTTAAAAGCAGGTCCTTACATGACTACCAGAGATCAGAGATTTCTCACTTCAAGTTTAAGTAAAGCTTTGATACTAATCAGTTTCAAATTTGACTCAAATCCAAATGCTTGGTTGGGTCTCAGGAAGCACAATAGGTCCAGTGTGAGAAGATGCCTGTCCTTACACCAAAATCTTTAGCCTGATTTCCAAATATAACTAGTTCCTATGTTGGAACTGAAGTCCTTGGCTTTTATATATCTCTACTTGCATCTGTACTGTAGAAAGTGAAGACAAAGTTGGCTGGAGATTGGTAGGAGTGTTAATGTCATAAGAATGGATTCTCTATAGAATTCTCTGTTCTGGTAATAGGAAAGCTGACTGCAGCACATCTACTTTTTACATCTCATGCTAAGGAATTCTCTCTTCCAGAAGTCATGAATAGGTCATTGATTTTATAACAAATAAACGGGAGAGCAAAGTAACCTATTCTAGTACAGGTAGCCCTTGACTTTCTAAATGATCTTTCATTTAGTTACTGCTTGAAGTTGCAATGGAACTGAAAAAAGTACCTTGCAACAATCAAGTAATCCTAGATAAGAAGTTTCCATGCGGAGACTGACCCATGGTAATTTGACCCATGATAGAGTCAGCAAAGCTGGTTACTGAAGAGATTGAAAACCCCAGAAATTAAGAGACAACAGTACTTCCAGAAAACATTGACAGACTTACAGTAGGAATGAGATCTAACTCTTAAGTTGGGCTATTAATCTGGGTTGAAGTTTATGGTGGGGAGGTCTGTGGAAAGATTTAGATTTAGGTGGCAAGTATGTGTTCTGTTTCATCAGTAGTAAATCAAAGTATTCTGTTATATAATCACCATACATTTAATTGCATTATTCAGGTTCTCCATGAAAAAACAGATTGTTGATCATGCAAAACTATTCCAGAAGATCTTTAGCTTCCTTCAGACAGCTGATATTAAAGCATCTAATAGTCCAAAGGTCTACATGGTATTCCAGGTCCTCTTGGCTCATCAGAGTGAGTAAGACAGGGGTGACAAACTGCCGGCCCACAGGCCAGATGCGTCACACAGAAGCTGCGTCCACCCCATTGCCAGCAATGGCAAAACAGTCCCGATACATTGCGTGACGTCACAAGTTTGACATGTCTGGTGTAAGAGGAGAGCTGTGTTAATGTAGGGTAGCCTTTTTTTCTCGCTAACAAATGTATTAAAAGGCATTAGCTTTAGTGAACTACATTTCACTTCATTAGATGCATGGAATAGCTAAAATGATGTACCAATAGGAGTTAAATTAGGATGACGTGTGTCATGGTTCCGACAAATGAAACTCTTCAAAGTACTTCAAGGCATTGTTTACCTTAAAGAATCTTTATTCGAGTAGCATAGCTTCGGCACATACATGTTCGAAGACGAAATCTGAATTCCCCTCCCCTAAACACATAGTATCAAAGCACAAACAATGAGTGGGTTTTTTTGTTTTTTGTTTTCCTTTTAGAGAAAGATTGGGTATGCCTTCTTTTTACCTTTAAATAGCCTTGTTGTTCTCCTAAACAATATATAGGCAATTGGGGGCTACATCTTTCCTTTTTTTCTTGGTTAAAGAGTGTCCTAAAATGGGCTGTAGGTTTGAATTGTGCAAAATTCAAAGTGCACTGAAGATGTCTCCTCAAATGGAGACAAAACATTTGCAGACAAATCGCCAAGCTTGGAGATCAGACCTACAGCACAACTGCTAACCCAAGCTACTAATATTCAAACATGTGTTCTAAAATGTTGGGCTACTGATAGGGTAGCCTGTCAGCATGATTCAGAGATAATCATGGGAATAATGACATACAAGAAACCCACTGTGATATAAATTGCGGCTGAGTTAGTTGCTGGGTATTAATGATAACTGTTTTTTAAGTCAAGTCATTCCTACAAAATGTATACTCTCCTTAACATTTCTGCATATTAGTCTGATCTTACCCACTGTTATTTTTTTATTGATAGAGCATTAATCCACATTTTCTTTGTTACTACAAAGATGGAATTTTGTGTCTGTTTCTATTAAGAAAGCTATTGCTATATAGACAACAAGGTTTCAGTATACTGAGTTTTTATTCTTCTTTTATCCAGTGTTAAATTATTTTGGGTAAGACAACCTTGCCCAAACCTTTTAACAAGTTTGTGATGAATGATATTTAATTGGAATTAAGTTTTCTAAACCAAGAAAACTTCTGATTAAATAACCTTGCACTTATTTAGATAATTTATTTTTATACTTTTCTTGGACAATCAAAATAAACTCATTTTACTTTCCAGCTGGTTTGGTGTGTTTTTTTCCACCATCCAGCTGTGCCTAATAACCTGGTTAAAAAAATCTAAAGTTAATTAATCTACTTCCCAAAGAACAAACTATTTAACAAACAACAAGCTAACAAGTAGGAAGACAGAACTGTCTTGTAGTGCTACCTATTTTGTTTGGCTCCCATTGATTTAAATAGGCAGTGCCCTACCTTACACTAGTGCATATGCTTGTGGTTCATTCAAAATACTTGTACACAGCTGTTATGCTAAAAATATTAGTGAGAATGCTTGCAGGATTGGTCAAGCTTCATATACAAGATACTGAAGGAGAATTAAAATTTTCTTATTTTTTTGCATTCATTGATTCACGTCTCCTTCTATTGCTACAAGTTGTGTTTTCCTAACATAGACAGGAAAAGAGGGCAAGCCATACAAAGCTTGTTATCCTTTCCCCCTTGCTCCTCCATTTGCTCAGGTGGAAAGATATAGTGAAAATCTATTTTCAACAGATCCAGCCTCATGAAGAACAATTGCATAAAATTCTTTCTGGCATGACCATTAGAGGTGCCAGAACTCTGTCTTCTCTTGCATCTAGCAATTCTAATTAGATTCCTACTTGTCCAAATCCTTTAAACTCCACAAACAACTTTACAAACCATAGATGTTCATATTCCAAGGGACCTGGAGCTCTTGGGAAGTTGCTGAATAGTAGCTCTTGTCAGCCCCAGCCAGTCTGGCTGGCTAGCAGTGAAGGCTTCCAGGAGCTGTGATTTGGCATTGTCAGAAAAGCTACAGTTGCACACCCCTAGTTTATCAGCTCATTCATTTGCCTGAAAGGGAAGATAATCATCTGACGGCAGGAAGCAACAGGGACCATGGAGTTTTGTAGAATTCTGCTTAAAATGGACATGAAGTGCTAATAAGAGGATAAGGACATCAATACTGTCTTATATTGGCAGCTAAAGTATTTATTTTAGTATATGTTGACCAAACTGTTGACAATAAAATGAGCTGTGTGTATGGTGGACGGGATTAATAGTGAATTAAATATAACTAATTGCTCTAGCATCTAGGCTGGATATTTAATTTACTCTATACAGAAATCAGTTATAAATAAATTGTTAAAAGTTAACAATTTAACTTTAAAGGTTAACAAAAAGTTAAAAGTTATAAAAGTTATAAATTGGACATTTATATATATATATGAAATGGTACAGGGTCTCCTGCTTGAGCAGGGTTGGACTAGAAGACCTCCACGCTCCCTTCAACTCAATTATTCTGTTAAACAGAATTTAAAAAGGAAATGTGATATTCAATGAAAACTAATATATTTCTTCATTGTCCTTGTTTAGGTCATGGAACCAAAGGTGTATTTGAGCTTTTGTCGGGATGGCGTCGAACCAGAGAAAATTTGCCATTTAAAGACAGGGTTGCAGATGCCTATTCAGATGTAATGGTTTCCTATACCATGACAAGCTCCTTGTACTTCATAGCCTTTGGCATGGGTGCCAGCCCTTTCACCAACATGGAGGCTGTGAAAGTCTTCTGCCAGAACATGTGCATCTCCATCCTGTTGAATTACTTCTATATCTTCTCTTTCTTTGGCTCCTGCCTGGTGTTTGCTGGGCAGCTGGAGCAGAATCGTTACCACAGTATCTTCTGTTGTAAAATCCCCTCTGCAGAGTATCTGGAAAGGAAACCCGTTTGGTTCCAAACCATGATGAGTGATGGGCACCAGCAGTCTTCTCATCATGAGACTGACCCATACCAGAACCACTTTATCCAGCATTTTGTAAGGGAGCATTACAATGAATGGATTACTAATATCTATGTTAAGCCATTTGTGGTGATACTGTATCTCATTTATGCTTCTTTCTCCTTTATGGGCTGCCTGCAAATCAGTGATGGGGTCAATATTATCAATTTGCTTTCTAGTGATTCTCCGAGTGTGTCCTATGCTGTTATTCAACAGAAGTACTTCAGCAATTATAGCCCAGTGATAGGATTTTATATCTATGAACCTCTTGAGTACTGGAATGGCACTGTCCAAGATGACCTAAAGAAACTGACTGAAGGCTTCAACACACAGTCCTGGCTTCAACAATATTACCAGTATCTGAGAGCTGGGAATATTAGTGCAACCAATAAAAGTGACTTCCTTAGCATCCTCCAAAACTCCTTTTTAAGAAAGTCTGAGTTTCAACACTTTAAAAACGATATCATTTTCTCCAAGTCTGGGAATGGGAATAACATTATTGCTTCCCGCATGTATCTTGTAGCTAGGACTAGTGAAAAAACACAAAGCGAAGTTATAGAATTATTGGACAAACTCAGACCATTGTCCCTGAAACAGAGCATCAAGTTCATTGTCTTTAATCCTACTTTTGTCTTCATGGACCAGTATAGCCTGTCAGTAATTATGCCTGTCTTGATCTCAAGTTTTGGCATCTTGCTGGTCCTCTTACTTACATTCTTCCTTGTTATTCACCCTCTGGGGAACTTCTGGTTAATTCTCACTGTCACCTCAATAGAGTTGGGTGTCCTGGGCTTGATGACTTTATGGAATGTAGACATGGATTGCATTTCTATATTGTGCCTTATTTACACTTTGAATTTTTCCATAGATCACTGTGCACCCTTGCTTTACACATTTGTACTAGCAACTGAGCATACCAGAACTCAGTGTATAAAAAGTTCACTCCAAGAACACGGAACAGCAATTTTGCAAAATGTTACATCTTTTCTTATTGGGTTGGTTCCCCTCCTTTTTGTGCCTTCAAACTTGACCTTCACACTGTTCAAATGCTTGCTGCTCACTGGCAGTTGCACACTTCTGCACTGTTTTATTATTTTACCTGTCTTCCTAACATTCTTTCCACCATCCAAAAAACACCACAAGAAAAAGAAACGAGCCAAACGGAAGGAGCGAGAAGAAATTGAATGTATAGAAATTCAAGAAAATCCTGACCATGTGACAGCAGTCTGAAAGTCAAATAAAAATATGTGGGTTTTTTAGTACTGAAAAAAATGTTACACGGAGCTGCAAGGAAAGTAAAGATCTCCACTGCTTGTGCTGGCCCCTGTGAAGCAAGACAAAGGAAGCCCAAGGAAGGAGCATATATGATCCATGGAGGTGAACATGTTGTTAAAGTAATAACCATTTTTTAAAAAAGAAAAGAAATAAGAGAGGGGGTAAAAATTCCTCCAAAAAGTTTCTCCTTTTAATCCTATGACTTCACCGAGGGGGATGCTTATTAGCAGTTTTAGCAAAAAAGATGGTCTCTTACAAATGAAAGTATTAAGATTGTCCTAAGTTACTGATTTTAACAGGCCACATAGTTTTGAAACAGGAAGAAAAGAAAAAGTTTTAGGAAAACATAGATATGGCCATAATAGTGATCATATATTTTAAAAATTGGCCCAAATGAAACCTATGCAATTGGGAAGTAGATATTTGTTCCATCTGAAGCCAAAGTACTTCTTTATTTTCATATATCTTTATCTGTCTGCAAGTCACAGATGAAAGTTATTTTACTACTTCTGAGAGTCAATATATCCTCTCCTAAAATATAAGTTCTTTATGAACAATATGGGAAAGAAATTATTTAAAGAAAGTTAGCTTCTACGAAGGTGGCATTTGACTATGCTCCCTTTTATGAATAGAAGGTCCCTCAGAACTACAGTAACGAGAGTCACAGCAGACTCTCCTTGAATTCTGTCAAGCATCCCAGGGCTGAAACACTGCAGTGCTACCTATAATTACTGCAGTGCTGTCCTTTTGCTTTCTGCACATACTCTGTACCAACATTAGGCACAGCATACTAATCAGACCAACGTGTCAGCTATAATGATAGATCACATACCATAGATACAGCATGGGAATCATTTTGTGCCTGGATCACTCTGGATACATAGCAATGTAAGCATCACTGAGGAGGCTCAGTGTGATGTGATGCAAGATTTTCCTTTGAAATATTTTCCATATGATAAGTATTTCAAATCTCCTTTGGCAAGCCAATAAGTTGACTATGTCTTTTGCCGCAAGAAATTGAGAAAACATACATGTTGTAGTGAGAGATAACAAACACAAGAGATGAGGCTACTTGGGAAATTGTTCTTTATAAAACATTACTATTAAATATCTGATAGAATAGCTATGATAAAACAAAGCTTTGTGGCTGTTGAGAATTATAGATGAAAGCAGTAAATGTGTCTCTTACTGCATGACTTTAGAATTAAACTATAACAAAATGATACTACCTGTTCTACGAGTAATGTCTCTGCTTAGAACTACAAGTGCAAGAGAAGGAATGGAAAAAGAATGAACCAAAAAAATATAGATTGGGTGAAATTTTACCCTGAATTAAGCCACGTATTTCTCTCCCAAATGCATTTTGGAAAGGGCTTGCTTCATGCATTGTTGCCTTGCATAAATGAGCAATGTCTTCCTGAAGAAAAAATATATTTTGTATATTATTACCACTGTTGACAACCATTGTCAAGGGGAGGGATGGAAATTGCTAATTCTTTTCAAAAGAAGCTGATTCATTTAACAGACTCTAATCTTCTATACTGTACCAGTTGGCTGTGCATTGAAGATTTATGGATTTATACAGAGCTACAGCTACTATATCTGGGCTGCAAATATCTGGACAATCATTAGATGGAAACAGAGAAAACTCTCTTTGCCACCTCACCTTCCTCCTCACCTTAGTTCTCCTCACCTTCCCCAATTGGCATGTAAATGACTAGCAATGAGTAAACTGTAAGCAATACCACGGAAAGGAAAGAATGGATAAATGTGAGGGGTGCTCATAATCCTCCCACTGAAAATGACAACCCCTCTGTAATGTCCATTTGCCCATTCCTAAGTCAGGGAGGGAAGAGGCTTTCACAGAACTCAGTGCTGGCCCTTCTTCCACGCTCTATGTTCTTTCTTGTATTTGGTGAACTGTTTTGAGGTATTAATGCTGTAAAGAAATTCTGATTTGCTAATTATTTGACCTAAAGCCATATTCTCCAGTAATATATAATGCCATAGTGAATCAAGGCCAAACCATTTGAATTATTTCATATTTCTGTAGCTGTGCCAATCTAAAATTACAAGCAGACATCGTTGAGATAAACCTAGAAATATTGAAGATTTTAATCTGGGATATTCTATATAGAAAGTATATGCTGTGTTACAAAGTAATTGTTCTTTTCTCTAATGTGTTTTTGGGGAACTAAACATGTAACTGGATTTAAATCCCCATGAAACCATTACCTGCCATAAGAATTTTGTCCTTACAATATTCCATTGTAAGACAATCATTATTGATGACAATTTCTATTTGGTCACATAGAAGATACAATTGGAATGTAAAAAATGTAGTATGAGCACATTGGCATACTTCTAGAAGACATTTTCCAAAATGGCTGCCAGACAGCCTTTTATAATACCACCCTCATGAACCTATGTCACATCCATAAAATACGGGTCATGCTGCAATATAGGTTTTTGTATATAATGAAACAAATGATAACATTCCCAAAGGGTTTATCTGTTTGCATCCTGAAATTATATTTAGAAAATAAATATAAAATAAAAAATTACTAGTATTTTTTCCCAGCAAATTCACAAATGAGTTTATGATGCACTCTATAGGATTACAAATATGTATAACTCATATACAATTACATTATTAAGCCTTTGGCTTTCCAAGATGGAATTCTTGTAAGGTACACCATTCCTCAAATCAGGCCCTCAGTTGAGTATGAGAAGCGACATGATGATATTTTGTCAGCCTAAAACCTATTCTGATTGATCAGCATACATTAAACAGAGGACGATTTGCTTTGGCTAAAAGTTAACAGGTACTGGATTTGCATTGCATCAAAGGACAACGGGCTGAAATGATGACTGTATCATCATGAATTAGATTTTGGACAGTCAATCTACATACCAGTGTTCCAACAATATATGTTGTACTGTATCTTATGTTCCTTATCTAATTTTATGCCTAACCTCTTTTGTCATATCCTAGTCTGTATTTTCTTTCTGCTGTGATTTTTTGCCTTTTAAAAATGTTATTTTAAGTCATCCAGAAAAAATGAGATGGCTTAACTCTGTGACAGATAACTTTTAAAGTAATCAAGGTTCTGCAACACTGTATAAAAAGACATTCCTGTGGGGGCGGGAATTAAGAAGCTTTTGTCATATTTAGCAGTAGATCTATAGATTACAGTACCTCTCAGAATGCTAATCCTAGCTGGAGAAACCCAAGAAATGGCTACATTTTGGTCAGAGACAAACATGTTCTCCATACAATTAGGTATTCAATGAAGGAAAGCAGTTCTACATAGTATTAGCCACAGTTTGATGTAATCTTTTTATAGTTTGTGAACTAAAACATAACTTCCAAGAATGCTTGAATAACTGTGAAAAGAAATAAAAAAGACATGCTCATTAAAATACATTTCCTGATCTTCAACTGATACGGAATTTCTTGCTGCTAGAAAACAGTTGGAATATTTCCTTCAAACAATGCAGATGTTATTACAGTATATAGTAAAGCCAAGGACTTTTCAGTGCAATTCCTCCTGACATGAAAATGAATTAAAGGGAGTGCAGCTGCCTATAAAATGTTTTGACAAGTCATAGTTGCTGAAGGAATATGAGAAAAGAAAGGAGATCCAGCAGCATTAAAGTGCTTAGATTGTATGAAAAGTGGCACAACAGATTATATTAAATTCTAAAATGGCAGGCTCATCAACAAAACGAAGCATGAAACTCTCACCTATTCAAGAAATTGAAATTGCCTCTTTCAGGTCATATATTTCTTCCATCACACAATGAGCTTGGTTAGAAGATTTCAAACAAGAATAATTGACATTGCAATAAGAGGGGATTCTGTTGCAGACATTCTTAACATGATATATTGCCATTCAACTAGCAATTGATTGCTGATTTATTTGTAATGACTTAAAATCCTTTCTGTAAGAACTATTTCCTTGCACGTATGCCTCTACTTCCAATATACATTGTTGATTGCCCAAACTAGAAGGCTAAAGGGCAGGTATGCCTTCCACATTTAAAACTGTCAAAGTGTATGGCAGAATTGTACTCAGATTTGAGCAGACTTCATACACTGAAAAATTCATCAAGAACATGAAAGATGAAGAGGACTGTATCTAATTCCTTACATTTAATGACCTTTGAATGTGACACCACCATTCCTGTGTAGTTTCAGATATTTTGAAGAGAAATGTGGTTTGGAGACTAATACTAATTTTGACAAGATGAAAAAATAATAATATTCTACCCCTAAATGGGAAGGATGTCAGCTGAAATGAATAACAATAAAAACTAAACTATAAATGTTTATTTAGCATTGGGGGAAGAGTAGGTGGATGCAGCTGACATGTGAAAGAATACAAAGGGAAGTGTTGTAGAAGCTAACATGAGGAATTAAAGCAAAGGTATGCCGTGTGTGTCTAGAAGGGCTCCATCTGCCAGGAATGTGGATCAGGGATATGACAGAACAATTCCCAATATGCATCAAGTCAATTGGAAATTATCCCACAAGTGAAAGCAAAAGATACATAGAGGTTGTCTAAAATACATCGCTGTAGAATTAGGAAAGTAGCTTCGGAAACTGGAAACTCAGGTGGTCTCATCGATCTTCCACTCAGAAGAGGGCCAAAAAGAGGAAGAACGTTATGAATGAATGATTGGCCACATAAATGCTGTAGACAGGAGAGCTACAAAAGACTTTTGAATGAGGGGTTGTTGTTTTGTAAACAAAGCAACATAGTTCAAAAGCTTTAATTTCCAACAATATAGGCCCCACAATAAATTCTCTTATATTTTGCTTGCTTGTGTTATGATACTATACAACCCTGATGGAATTTTTCAGTTGGCTCAGTCATGCATTCCTAAATATGAATCCATGCACCCACAAAAATCCTATTGTGTTTTCCCATTCAATTGCTTAAAGTTTGTGA